CACACACACACACACACACACACACACATACAAAGCAGGCGTCACGTCAACGATCCTCAGGTGAGCCAACACACATCATGCCCACTGTTCCTTCCTCGACTTCTGCTTCTTGTTCTTCTTCTTCTTGGCGCTATTCGTTCGTTCCATGCGTCAGGCAACCAAGTATGTGAACGTGGGACGCGGTGTCTGTTGTGATGGCAGTGCTGTCGGTTGTTGCTGTTGCTGTCTTGTTGTGGGTGTGGGTTTGGACTCCCTTCTTTCCTTCTTCTTGTGGCACAAGGATGTGTGCAGGGGGCTGTGGGTCTGCTGAAAGTGGTGGTTTCGTCGTCGTCAGGTCGTCGTTGTTGTGCTTGGCTGACGTGAACATGTGTGCTGTTCTCTTGTGGTTGGACAAGGCAGTGGCCTGCAGAAACCTAACGACGCTCTTGAGAGTGCACTGGCAACACTTGCCGCTGACATACGCATACCACAAGGCAAGCGACAAGCAGTGTCACTCACGGCCACCTGCGAGGTGGGTGCAATCACACCTCCGCTCTGTGTGTGTTGCGTGTGTGTGTGTGTATCAGTGCACGGTGGTGATCCGATTTCCAAACCACAACCACTGCTGTCACTGCTGCTGCCTTGCTGGTGCTGGTGCTGCTGCTGTTGGCACGTGTGTTCTCACGGTTGCATCCTCTCTTCCTCCCACGCAAACAACAAACAGACAGGAATCGGCAAGTGAGAGTGGCGGAGACCAAGGCACCAGCAACACAGAAGGCCGCGTTTGAGTGGGACGCACCTCCACAGCGGTACCGGGCGAGCAATCACAGCATTTGCGCTGACATCGGTCAGTCTTCTGTCGTGATCGCATATCATTCATCCCCCAGCTTGCAATCAAGTCAGTTCACATGGCATACACGCTGTACGTGCTCATCACCTGCCCCATGCACACGTGGTTTTCACGCACACACCCCACAACAGCCCGCTTGCGTGGCATCATCTCGCTGGACGTGTGTGATGCGCGAGTGTTGGGGATGATGATGGAATGCCCCCGTCTCATCATGACAGTGAGCGACGTGTGTGTGTGTGTGTGTGTGTGTGTGTGTGTGTGTGTGTGTGTGTGTGTGTGCGTGTGTGCGCTTCTCGTTACGCTCGGCAATCGTGTGATGACGGCTCATCACTCCTGCGCACGTTCCCTCGCTCACTGCAACACCCATCTCGCCACCGTTAACGACCAGGTTGCCATCCACTGGATGCCCTTGATTGAGTCGATGGAGCAGAGTGTTGGTAACATTGGCAAGATGCTGCTCATGGCGGGACAGAGCGAATGCTTTCAAAAGTATGCGCACACTGTATGTGTATGTGTGTGTGCATATGTGTCGTCGACGTGGTCATTCTTCCATGCGTCTGCTGTCTGCTATTGGTGTGCCATCGTTTGATCTTGTGCTGCGATGTGTGGTCCTAAGCTCTGTTCCTCGTGTGTGTTTGGGCCACAGGGTACGCCTGGAAGCTGAAGAGAGGAAGGAGGCGCTGCTCCGGCACAAGGATGATGGTGACATGAGGTGCGACCACCGAATTGTGTTTTTGTTACGGGTGCATTGCCGCCGCCGCCGCTGCTGCTGCTGCTGCTGCTGCTGGTGGAGGTGTGCAGCTGTGCACACTAAACCACTCATCATTCGCTATCGTCTTGCAATCCTTCTGTGCATTTCTCTTCACGGCTTCGTCTCTACTGCTTCATGTCTACCGAAGACAACGAACTCTTTGACACAGTGCGTGTGTTTGTGTGTGTGTGTGTGTGTGTGTGTGTGTGTGTGTGTGTGTGTGTGTGCAGCGGTTTGTTGCAGATATCTCCAGATATCTCCCAACACGCCCCCCATCCCCTTTCATCCGCGCGCCTCACCACATAACAAACGCACCCATCGTCTCCACCACAACCACCACTGTTAACAGGACGCACTGCCCCGAGATGCCGCTGCACTATCGCACTGCCAATGGCGGTCCTGATGTCAGCGATCACCGCACGGCGTATCCGTCGATGCTCTTCGCACGTGCCCATCGTTCAAGGTGAAGACCCACCAACACAGCAACAACAACAGAAACGGCGTGGCATGGGGTGCAGCATGATGACCTCACACTCTCTGTCTGCGTGTGTGTTATGATTGCGTGTTCATGCGTGCGTGCATGTATGGCAGGTGTACGTGTACCGTCTGACTGCTGACGAAGAGGCCGCCCTTGCCAGCCATCGACCGCGCCATCCGAACCGCCATCCGTGACGGCCCGTACAGCACCGATGACCGTCCAAGGCTTGCCACTTGGTTCCAAGCACAGACGTATCGTGCTGGTGTGAAGGTGTGTGTGATTGTGTGTGTGTGTGATTGTGTGTGTGTGATTGTGTGTGTGTGTGATTGTGTGTGTGTGTATGTGTGTGTGTGTGTGTGATTGTGTGTGTGTGTGTGATTGTGTGTGTCGCGTCGGTGCAGATGCACAGGCTTCCACAGCCGTCACCATCACCACCACCGCCTCATAATTGTGTTTGCGCGCTTGCGGCTGAAAGATTGCATGCACGGCACGTACTCTGGCAATATTGAGTCGATGCATCCCGTGAGCGCAGCCATCCAGCGCAATCTCTCCAGCTGAGGTGGTGGTTTGTTGTTGCTTGTGGTGCTTGTGGTGCTGGTGGTCCTTGTGGATTGTGGTATCTTGCGTGTGAGAGGACCTGCGCTCATGGATGTCTTCCAAACACACACGCTCACATGCTCACATGTGTTGATACATGCCAGACTTGCGTATTGGAACGAGGGCCGCTACCACATCCTGTTTGAGTACAGTGACGCACCATGTCTCCCCTGGCATGCAGAACACCCCATTCTTGCAAAGGTACAATGTGTGCGTGTGTGTGTTGGAACATGACTGTGCATGCCTGCGCTCACCATTGATGATTGCTGTTGCTTACACTTCACCAATGCCGCCTTGTTTCTCATCACCACCTGCATCAGGTTGGCCTGAGTGAATTCCACCACCGTGACGGCCTCGATCTGTCCATGTCACTCTTCTCCATTGTGACATTCATTCATTCACACCGGAGCAGCGACGCGTTCCACCCGCGCAAACAGGAATATCCTCGTCACCTTCAGGTCTGTGCATGCATGTGTGGTGTGACGTGGTCCGATGTGGGGTTCGATGTTCACTGCTGCTGCTGGGCTTTGTGAGTTTCGAGGGTTGTTGTCGCACCACCATTCGGGTTTTTATGCCACTGCAATCTCACTCCAAACCTGTTGTGGTGCGGCTGCTTGACATGTGTCTTCTTTCCCTGTTGTACAGGGGCACTGCCACGTCTGCTCGTTCTTGATGCCATGCGCAACCACCTCCCCAAGCTTCACAACGACAGGTGTGGTGTGCTGTGGTCTGATGTGTTTTGTGTTATCGTGTTCCGTGTGTGTCGTGCGTTGCCTCGGGGTCAGCTGGTTTTGATGCTGTGTGCGTATCTGTCTGGATCCACCTCACCCACACACACATCGTCTCTTTGTATGTTTGCTTGTGTATGCGCAGGGACACTGTGTTGGTGTGCGCGTGCCGGTGGTTTGGCGAAGAGCGATTGGGCCGTGAGGGGGAAGGTTGGGTATGACCCCTCGTGTAAGCAGGCAGAGGAAGAGTTCAACACGCACACGTACACGGAGCTGGCGCTGGAGACCAAGTTTGGGCTCATCGTCGAAGGATTTGGCTACCACTCCTTCAGGTATGTGTGTGTGTGTGTGTGTGTGTGTGATTGTGTGTGTGTGTGTGTGTGTGTGTGTGTGTGTGTGTGCGTGTGTGTGTGTGTGTGTGTGTGTTGCAAACGATTTCGGTCCTGTTCGTGGTCTAACACAACTTCCACCTCCCGCCACCCCTCTTTCCTGCCTCATAGATCATGGCTGCGGGGGCCATCCCCGTCTTGACGTCAATCACTACGCGCTGGTGGGGATATGGATGGAAGAA